TATTAGGGAGGAATGGGAGGGAATCGAAAAAAACGTCATAGTTAATAGCATCGGTAGCATGCAAAATCGGGTTCAAGTGTGCATCGATGCTGAAGGAGCTCATACAAAGTACTAACACCATAATAAATGTTATAGCCATACTATTTGGCTTTAAGAAAAAAAAATTTTTTTTTAAATTTTTAATAAAGTACATTTTTTATTCATAAAAAATTACGCGCCATTACTTTCGCTGGGAACTGTATATATATTAAAAACATTCAATAAAGAAATACTATATTAATTTTTTATTTATTTAAACATTTTATTTTATCATTCCCTCCGATATTAATATTAATAATATTAATATTTTGTTTTTCAAATTTGCATAACGATCTTCAAGCCAATAAAATTTAATTTTTGCATGATATCTGGAAGGGAGATTGTCACAAAATTTAGCCAATGAAATCAAATGTCCACTATGCTCCGTTAACCAATGTAAAAAATTGGAGGGGCGGAAGGGGCGGGTCTCACGTTACACTACATATGTGTGACTAAAAATATGTGCAGAAAAAAATATTTTTTAACATTGTTTTATTATGCTTTACATTTTAAATATTACCCAAGAAAATATAATTTAATATTGTTTTGAATTAAGTATTTTGAGATGACTTCCTAACATAACTAATGATGTTTCTTTAATAATAATATCTTTTTTTGTAATTTTAATATTGTGCTTTGAACAATTATAATTATTATAAATAAATGTGATTTTTACTATATAGTTAGGGCGCTGACATATATTAGCTAATATCATTTTAATAGTAGTGCTTACTCCCCCACCCCAGGTAAGACATTTTGATCACGTGTATGACAATCATTTGCCTTTTTAGGTATCAACAAAGCACAAGCGAAAAAAAGAATTAATTTTATTAATAAATCATACATTTTAAAAGCAAGCAACATTGGAGTAAAAAATAATTCCTTTATAATATATTATGATCTCTTGGAATTCCTGGGTATAATTTGCATTGGCTATTTCTTTGACAAAACAACCT